AGACAGAACAAATACAAATGAGACAATGAATTAAGCAAAAGAGCAATCGTGTTCTCTGAACAAGAAGCCACGATCCTGTTCTGCCCCTGCACAATGGGATCAGCCACAATAAGACTGCCCACTCATTTCAGTTCAAGTGTTGACTGATGAGCAGTGGAAACTTCACGTGTTTCCTTGGCTTTCTACAGTGGCAAGAGATCTTTCCTTAGGAAAAATTAGGAGCCAAGTTCTTTATCAAAAAATGGAGGATTCTAGGCAGACATTATCATCATCCCTGGCTGCAGAGTATGGCAAAAATATTTGGAAAATATGTTCCTATCCTAAACTCTGACCATGAAATGCAAGTCCCATTTGATGACTGTGTGAGATTTCATGAAGATTTTACTAGTTGAAGATAGGGACAGTCAATAAGGTTAGAAAACAAAAATCTAGTGATAGCCTTTAATCTCTATCTATTTATACATCAAGGGCAGATGCATTCACTACACTCAATATTGTAATGAGCTTTTTTCTTTAGCTTTAATGTTACATTGAATTTTACACCATTATACTCAATGTTACTCTTGAATTTTTCAGTACCTTTAAGATGAGTTACCATAAAGAAATTCCTACAATCTCCTTGAGCATCCTTACAGGAATCCTTACACTCCTGTCATACCACACCAGGAAAACTGGCAAATGTTCAACTATTTTCAGACACTTACCAACCAACCTTGTGGAGGCTTTTCCCATCCCAAAGCATTCACAAGTTTCTCCAGATGGAGGAATTTTGATTAATGTTGTGTTGTGCTAGAGACAGTTCAGTACAGTATTGATACAATATTGATAGCATAGTCTTTATGATACTTTGATTAATGAATTTAAGTTTGGCGTGTGTTGGGTTTTCTGTATCTTTTTTGGTGCTTGTTTCTTTAGCTTTAAAAAAATTGCTTCTCTCTTTACAACTCAGCTTTGAAAGGTTCTAGAGGTTTCATCTGAAAATACAATAAAGGATTTTTTCACAGTTAATGCAGTCAGCATTTGCTTTAACACAAGTGAGAGCTACAGAGATCAGCAATTCCCATGTAGTAACCAGAGAATGATATCCAACAGCAGAACCCACACATACATCACTCACTGCCCAGCTCAGTGATCTGAGAACACGAGCAGTGGTTATGCTATGAGTGTCATGATGGCCTGAAGTCCATGCACTAAAACAAGAAGCCATTTACAGGCAGTTTTGTGAGGTAAAATCTGGCAAACTGCAGCAGAGCTTTCTGCACTGATTACTTGCAGAAAAAATAGGGTAGTCAGAGGTTTACTCCTTGTTGGGCTTGTCTTTTCACCAGGTGATACAGGACAAGTAGCCAACAAAGATAAATAACCAGCTTCATGTTTAAGACTGGATGCAGGGAGATGCTTTTAAAACTGGGTGTGCTCTGTTCAACACTAGTGTGTCAGTCCTGCCCCATGGGATAGTTATTACTTGCTGGCTCTGGGCCAAGAACCCTGCACAGCATTATCCTGCTGGCAAAAGAGCCTCTGCAGGGTCACATCATCCTTCCCCTTCATTTCAAAGTTGTGAGCAGTCACCAAATGACAAGAAAAGAGAGAGAGGAAGCAGTACAATGTCCAGTTAGCAGTGCACAGGAATGTGTGGAAAATTGCATTTGTTCACAAGTGCTCAAGTGCCTACTGAAGACATGCCTATATGATGTGAACACACTCTGCTCTCCCTGGTACCTCTTTCATTGAGGGACAACACCAACTCCTGAAAGCTGCTACTGTTAGCAGAACAAAACATCTGTTTTCCTCTAGCCAACTTCCATGGAGTGTCTCAGGCAGCCCATACCTCTGTGCACGACATGTAGTTCTGCAACTGTCTTAAAATAAATCTGTGCAAAAGCTCAAAGACAGTAAGGAACACAGGCTCAGTCACAGCTCATCAACATAACTGTCCAAGGAGAAAAGATTTGCCTTTGACTTAAAAAGCTTCACTAACAAGTTTTTTATTGAAAAATATATACTGTTAGACACCACTATACTATACTATAGTGTTAGACACCACCACAGCACTCAGATGACTGCCCTGGATAGAAGTTTTCTACTGACCCTGACAATGCAGCTTCTGCCTTCTATTTAAGAGGTCAGAAATGAGAGCAAACACATTTTAGAAATAGCTGTAGACAAAGACAAGAACTAATTTGAATGGGTGAGCAGCTTGTGAAAGTAAAACTCAGATCAAGTTGGGACAGGATAAGGACAAAATCACCAAGATGAAAAAATGACACAAATATCTGAACTGGGCAACAATTGTCATACATAAACTCTCCATATAGCTAGATAACAATGGAAGAAAAAGTCAATTGAACAAAGCTGTGTTGATGCAGTCATCATGCCTGCTGCTGGTCTACATGCAAACCATGTAAAAATGCACCCAAGACCAAACACTTTGTTGGGCTGAGACCCTTTTAGGGAATGCTGAGGTTGGCTTTCCCTTAAAGCCCCAGACCAAGGATGCTGGTGCCCTCTTCTGGTCCTGTCCTTCGGCGACCATCAGGATACAGAGTCTTTCTGGTTCAACAAAACAAAAGACTCAAGGTCCTTTCCTGCGTGGCTGAAGCCAACTGTGCCTCTTCAGTAACCAGAGGAGACAGTACACCCCGTACTGGGACAGGTGTGCTGTTGGAAAGCGTGTGCTATGCAAATGTGCTTCAGAGTGAACCTGCTTCTGCCACCTCAATGCCGCACTCCACTGTCACATGCAGGAACAGCACAGCTGCTGCTGCTCATCTGCACTTTGTTTTCCCATACACTTCGTTAATGCTCAGATATTTCTATCCTTTTTATGAGGAGAAAAAAATAACCAAGTGGATTATTCTGTTTTGAGATACATGTTGCTACAGTGTCTGCCTGAACAGGGACGGAGTTTACATTATTCTGTTGTAAGGAGTTCACGTCATCTGTTGGATGCTGTGGGGTCTAGCGCCCTCTCTTTCTTTTTCAAATAATTTACACATCAAAACACAAACAACAGTAAACAAGCAGAAAAAGCAGCTTGGCTGCAGATGGTGGAGGGAGGAGACTGATTCTTGCCAGAACTCAATGCTTCATCATGAGCCTGGTTTTTCAGCACTTGGCTCCAGTAAGGCTCTTCTGTGTTCAAAGAAAGAAGATCTGAAAAAAACGGACCAAGGACTTCTTTATGGTTTAACTAGGTATTTACTGGTATCAATGGCAGGGACACTTGGTCATTCTAAACACATTGATAAGACAAAAGACGGGCAGACCGCAAGCACAAGCTCTGAGCACAGTAGCACAGCCTGTTAGCTCACACTCAGTATTTTGTCCTGCTCCAAAAGCACTCTCAAAAATCTACTAAAAAACTAGCCAACCCTAAGAATCATGGAAACAAGCCAAATGGAAACAGACATTTGGCCAGGAACCAGTCCTTGCTCAGTCCACAATTATTTTTGGCCTAACTAGGCAAGCACTGTACAAAACTCCAAGACAGAGACATAATTTTAGCATCTTCAGAGGTATTAGGGGCAGGACTGCCTGGTCTGTCTTGGGCCAGACGCAAGTTAATTTGATGCAGGTAGGCATGTACTTGAGGATTAACTCTATCATGTGGTCAGTATCTGTCTGTAGGCTGTCCTGTAAGTTTGTCTGAAGTTTCTCTTGAATGTTTGCAAGGCTGCCATCTACAGTAACAAACCACAAGGAGTGCACAGAAGAGCTGTGACTGGCTGTATTACTTATCCCACAGGTTTATGCCTAATCCACTGCTTCTCTACATCTCTGCAGTGCACATTCTCCATTAACTTGTTGTCAGGGATGTTCATTATGGACATCTCAAAAAAAATAAATTGCATTTTAAGTAGATGCAATATAAACAAGCATCCAAGAGAAAGTCAGGGCTTGCCACACAAGAGAACTATGAAACTAAAAATAACTATTCAGTACATTTCTTGTCTTATGCAATGGGAAAATACATACATCCACTATAAATACTAAAGGACCCAAGAAACTTCAGAAACAGCTTATCAGCTCAAGAACATCTGAGTAGTAGGGGATGGGTCTGTACTGCCTCCAGTTCACATCTGCCTAGCACACTCTGCACAGTTCTTCAGTATAGGAAGAAGATCTTGCTCAGGGGAAGCAGGTGCTGAGGAAAATTGCAAGATAACAAGCTTAAACCCAGGAAGCAATCACTGATGTTGCTGGCTCGTTTCTTATACCTAAGAGCAGCCCCACTAGCTGCTTCAAGGCCACTGGCTAAAATAAGTATCCACCTCAGTGATCAGAGCCAATTTGAGTCATTTGTAGAATTGACAACAAGCAGGTATGCACACAGACTAATCACTCAGCCAGATTTCCCAGCAAGGCAGACAACTTTCTGCAGCTTAACTGTTCTGAACACAATTAAAGCATTCTCTCTAAATATCTAATTACCTTTCAGACATCCTTAACTTACCCAAGAGAAGAGGAAAACAAAGGCAGACCATAGCTTCTAAGCCAGTACCTTCCCACAAAGTATCAAGTTGCACTTATCCCTTTTAATCTTAAGGGAAGAGTGGATCCACAATATATCTCCAGTTATAAGGACAGCTTTCTCAAGACACCAAGATGGCTAAAATATTGTCAGAAATTATTGGTTAAAAATAACTACAACACAGAAAACCACTATCATACAGCCAAGTCTCTTGAAAGTCACAGCATAATTACATGGAAACTGCTAAAATAAGATTAGGGATGTCTGTATTTGTTCTAATACAAGTGTTAAAGACCTCTTGAACCAAACATCATGGGTCAAAGATAAAATTCTCAACAACTCTCAGTTCCAACCTACTTCACTGGGAGTATTGAATAATCCCTCAAAGCTCCTTGGATGTGCTCAGCCTGCTATTTCACCAGTTGGTTTTGTCCCAGTAAATTTTAACTGAGGGAAGATACTGTGACCTGCATAGAAGTCAATATTCAGCCTTTGAAATACACATGCTGACATTCAACAGACTGACCTTCACAGCAGAGATAACTGAGCATGATCATCCTTGGCATTTCCAAAACAGCCACAGTCAAAGTATTTCCCAGGCAAAAATGGTTGTTATCTCAAAAGTTCACAATCACATTCAGTGATTTCTTATGGGCAGCCCCTCACAGTGCTGACTCCTTCTTCTTCCACACAACACAACCAACAACCTCCACCTCATGACTTGCTAACCCACTCTTGTACAGCACGCACCTTTATTGACACAGCTGTGGCCTATTAAGGGCAAGCCTGTTCCTAATTTTTGGTAATTAGTACAGCTGCAACTCCTCAGGGTTGAGATTGCCTTGTGCAATATCTCTATTCTCTTACATTCTATCCTGACACAAAAATAACCACCAACAAACAGATAAATAAACAAACAAACAAAAAAAAGTGCTTTATTTGTGGCCATGGTCTACAAGCCACTAAGGATCATGGACAAGAATTGAGACTGTCTCAGTTTAAGCTCTAATGCTGATTACCTTTTATTTCTTTTCCATGATACAGCTATCTTCAAAAGGTCTGGTTCTGTTTCTAGGCCCACACAAGACTGTGAGCTTTATACCTCTTAGCACAGGCACTACATCTATGAAAACTTAAAACTTCCTTTTGGGTTGCTTTCATCTCCCTCTTTATAAATCCATTTTCCTGTATACCTGATTTTCAGTACAACCTTTAGTACTCCTACATGTTTTTGCATCTGTATTCAAGCACTTCATCTATTAAAACAGTATTATTTCACCTTCATTAGCACTTTATGCCCAACTGCAGCATCTTGTATCCCTTGATCTCAGGTATCATCTGCAGAGAACAGCCCACAAGGGGTAGGCCAAAGTGTGATGAATCACATTGAAGGAGAAAGAAGATAGCACTCAGTTTTCACCTTGGAAGAGTCAAGGCTTACTCCTATAACAGCAGTAAGTCTCTTTTCCTTGCTCTGAATAAGACAAATTCAACAAAAGGAAGTGAGATTAGAGAAGGAACTTTCAAAATGACATTATTACAGATCTCAGATGAGACCACTTCAAGATGAGTTTCTTGTATCTCACAAATTAAAATTTAATCCATCTTGCCCAAACTCATTATTAGCACTCAGACTGCAGCATTATGTGATTCTTCACCTTAACTACTTTTTTTTTACCCTTTTTAGCCTTGGACTGAAACAATATTTAAGTCAAAATCTGAGATGAAAAATAATTACAAAACAAGAAAGCAGATGAAGTACAGTCTTCACATATTATAGCTTTAAAAAAAGCCAAAAATCTCCAGGTATATTTGTATACTAACAAACTGAAGCTCTGAGAATGTGAAGTGAAACTGTTGCAATAGCCTTGCAGTTATAAGTTAAATTTAAGAAAGTAAAACAGAACAAAATGTGGCTTCTAGAAAGACTCCAGATGTTAAAACACTGAATAAATTCAGATGCTTATTTTGTTAGATGCACCAAATCCATTGGCCCAGGAACATGAGGCATGACTGTGGTTATAGACTGTTTATAAGAACAAAAACTCATCTCTTCTCCATTACCGCTGTAGCATGACCACACAAATCTTTAGTCTCCTATAACACAAGGAAAACATTCCTGCACTTGAGACATTCATTTCTGCCTTGAAAATATGCAACACTACAGTTAGCTGCAGTTCAGTGAGCGCAGTTACTTACAGGAAGAATCTTATTAACATGGGGTTTCAGAATATCTTGTGTTCAGCCTGAAACACCAAACAAACTGGTATCATAAGCTGGGCAGACTTAGCTACACTTGGTCAGGGCACTCACCACTTCCCTGTGAAACAAGCAACCAGGAGTTGCCTGTTGTAGGCAGGTGTCACTGGCACAGCTTTGCACTGAGACACACTCTTTAAAGAAGCTGACTGCAGGCAGGAGTGAAATTCATAGCCCACCTTTAGAACATATGTCCACAAGCCATGAAATTCAGTGCATGAACAAAATCTATGGATTGAGGCCCCCACCACAAAATGAATGCTGCAGACATGAGCATGGGCTATCTGGTCACTTCACTGTCCATTATCATAAACATGTCAAGATAAATTCACTCTACTGATTAAAAAGTGCTTGAAGCAAGAGACCAAGAACTAGACTCAAACTACAGCACAAGGCTGTGCTAGACTGAAATGGAATACTCTCCTCCCTCAAAGGATGTTTACTTTGGGACAAGTGAAGCAGTCACAACCACCATCTCCACTTCAGAGAAATACAAGAATTTGCATTACTAGAAAGATCTATCAGACTGCACAGGGAGGAATTAAGGGAAAGGAAGTCTTACAGACATTGAGGGAATGCCAAAGCTAAGAGCCTCATAACACACATATTGGCATAATCACGTTTTAAAATAAATGAGAGGCTTGTTAGCTGCTACTTAATATGTCTACTGAATTGCATACTGGTGTCAAGTGTTAAACCTGTTCTTCCTTGGAAACTCATAATGCACTGTACAGACTGCTCTCTTAGGAAGCAATAAGAAGAGGCTTGTTAGCTGCTACTTAATATTTCTACTGAATTGCATATAAAGTGTTAAACCTGTTCTTGCTTGGAAACTCATAATGCACTGTACAGACTGCTCTCTTAGGAAGCAGTAAGCCCTGGAAATTTTAAACTCTGGCGGTACAAGCACACCTCAAACTTACCTTACCATTTATATGAGTGGATTATAGTTCTCCACATGTTGACCAATATGACCAACTGATTTTTAAACTACTTTGGACAGGGGTTGTGTTTGAGAGTACAAAGTGGTGTCCTGTTTGGATGTTTGGGGTTTTTTTTAAAGCACTACCTAACAAAGAACTGACAGTGGGACACAAGACCACGTAGCAGCTCAGGCTAAGATAGCCAATAGCTCTGTCCCATTGACCTCCCTTCACACAGATCACCAGTGCTCTAGTGACATGAGAGGTCATCTCAGACAGGTTTGTTATAACACTCCACACTACAAGAATGACTCAGGAGCCATCCAGATCAACTCTGCTGTTCCAGTACCTCATAGCTTTCAGCACTGCTCTCTAAAGCAGTCTGTTCAGCAGTGTATGAAAAGCTCCTAATGCTCTGCCAGCTACAATCTCCCAACTCCCTGCAGGGCAATCCCCTATTTTGTTTCCATAAAGGGAAGTCTGACTTCTACCTCAACATTGATGATCTTCTACAAACATGTTCAAAGACCATGTGGATGTTCTTGATCTGATACGGTAAACAAGACGCAGAAAATAGCTTCTGTTCATGCCCACAGGATCTTGTCTCATTGAAGAAAGAACAAACAGGACTACAGCAAATCACTGTGCCTACAGGGATGTCAGGTTGTGGTGCTTTATCCACTCCAGCCAGCTTATAAGTGCTTACAGCTATTTAGTAAAAAACAAATCCCACCTCCCCCACCCCGAAAAAAAAAACAACACCCCAAAATACAACAAAACAACAAAAAAATTTTCAAAAATTCATTCCACTCACTGTTACTGCAGATATATTAACTGAAGTCAGAAAATTCACAGAAGTAGAGTGTAATAAGACATTTATTAAAAGTGCTTTCAGTTATGTTAAGAGCTATAGTCTAATACCTATTTTAAAAAAGGCATCTCATTAAAAAATATTAGGTTAAAAACCATTCTGATCACTGTGGTTACAGACACATGACCCGCAGTGCTCTATGAAATGTTAGACCAGCTTTGTTGATTGGGACACAGTAATCTTCAAGTCCAGGATCCACAGTGTCTAGTGTAGAGGAAGAACTGCTGGGAGCTCCAGAAGAGACACCTGAAGGTACCTGGAATAGAAATGAAGTGACTACAGACATGGCCTTCAGATTTGTCAACTGAACTATCACCTGATTGCACAATACACTGGAGAAGAGAAGCATCATCCTGCAATATTGCAGACAAAGTTGTTATCCAATGCATCTGCATACCTTATGGATTAATCACTTTTCTGGTCAGAAAAGTTTTCTCCTCAAGGGGCTGATGAAAACTTCTGTTTCAGAACTAGAAGCTAACAACTATGAGAGAGCTACATCAGCCACAGCCCAAGCTGGAAAACCAGAGTCATCCTGTGCTTACAGCTATCCAAGACACTGGCATACTGGTTACTTACTTTGGGTGCTTATACTTCTGCTTAATAGCTTGCAGCTGGCAATGGGATGCATCGAGGCATGCTTTGTGCAGGTCAGTCAGGCAAGGCGCTATCTCACTTAAGGAATATCCAGAAAATGCAGCAAGTGTTTCTGGCTGGTCGGATGAGAAAAAACAGTGTTACTCTATTGTAGCCAGCAGTCATCTAGAAGATGGGTTTCCCACGGAAGCAGAAACTCTTTTCACTACATCAGAGCTCAGTCTAGATTCTTAAAGCGTGAAAAAGATTCAATTGTATTGTGCCATCAGTTTCACTCTAGGTCTTCCTTGGTGCCATGAAGTCTGACAAGCTCCTTCTGCTCTAAGCATGTGCATCCATTACATCTCTTCTGGATCTTACTCTGCACTAAAGCTGTTCCTCCAACATACAGCTGGAAGTTCTACCAAGGCTTGTGGTAAAGCAGCCACAATTACACAGCAGTATAATCACTCAAGTAGACAGAATCAGTTCTCCCCTTTCTCCCTGAACTGATTTGGACCCTGAATTGTATCTGGGGGTGTAGTTTTGGACATTTGTGAAGCCTTTGGTACAGCCTCGATGTAAGTGAGCAAGACAGTAAAATCCTTTCAGTTTCAGAGAAGAGGCATGATATTTCAGGTTTACTGAACAGTCATTTATCAGGTAGTCTCATTAACTCAAGAACAGCTACTCATCCTAGGATTTCAGCCTTCAGAACAATATACTTTGTAGCAACTCCTCCTCCTTCTCAGCTCAGTTCTAACAATAACAAAATGCTTGAGCTATTTATTATCACACAGTTGTTGTTCTTACCCAGAAAGATCTGTTCACTGTATAGTTTGCTAAACAGTAAGCTGCTGCCGCAATTTGTGAAGGAAGGTACTTCAGAAGAGGATCAACCTGAAGGAGACTCAGCTCTGCAAGATACTGAACAAGAAAACCCAAGTTTTTAAAAAAGAATTAACCTAGCCGGTACAATCAGTTCAATACTGCAAGTATTAAAGTTCAGCAATGATCTCAGTATGATACACAAAAGCATAAACTATGAATCTAGCAAGAAGAATTAGCATTCCAGTCCCGTTGTTCTTACAGAAGATCCTTTATCATGTTTCAGACGGGGACAGAAACACCTCATTTTGCCAAAGCTTAACCCATCTACTCTAATCTGAAGTTCTGTTTCCATCATCAGAATTTTCTTGATTTTACAGGTAGAGACTCAGAAAAGTCAAGTTTCATGAAACTGACCGACACACTCTTCCCATCTGCTAAGGCTCTTGTTCATATATGTGGACCCCACCAGGACATCAGGGATAAATGGACAGCTCTAAGAAGCACAATATGGGCTCTGGTGGAGTAGAGTTATTGTACAATCCTACACCCTTTGCAGAGAAGCAGGTGGTCAGATATTTTATTGTAATGTTGTTGTTTCTAAGCATGGTTGCCTACTCCAGGCAACTCCTATGCAGCTACATTCTGTGTCATTGTGGAGCAATATGCAGTAGCACCAAATCCAGCACAGACTTGCTACACAGGCACTGTTAAACCTCTAGATTTTTACCACCTAATTGCCTGGTCAGTGAATTATCCCTGATCAAACAAGGCAGACCAAACCTAGGATTTCCATGAGGCATCTACCCAGAAGTCTTGGCACACAAGCCACCGCTATGAAACATGCAATTTTAGACCTGTTGCAGAGACAGCTTCATGAAGTGCAAGTAGTACTCCTTTAAGGATCACTTCTTTCCCCTCAGTCCCAGAGGACAGATAGTCCATACCCTTGCAAAGTTCTCTGTCCTCATACAGATTCCACGCCTCTGAATATACTGAAGGAGGAACTGGTTGATGGTTGGGGTTGTTAGGTCAAAACCCAGCACTTTGAGAAGCAAGTGTTCCATTCTTAGCAGCTGCTTCTTTGTGTAGGTATCATCTGTTATATAGACAAATTCATCCACATCTGGTGGGTAGATCTCTTCATACTTCCTGAAAAAGGATATAGAAGCCATATTTGTCAGCTTTGAAGTTATAGTAAAAGAAATCTTTGTGCTATACCCACATCAGGATGAGAACATGACATTACTAAAACTTGTGGAAAGCTTTAATTGTACTTGCTCCTCCAGGCTAGCTAACAATTTAGTTTCAAACTTGGGCAAATACAGAGGAACTCCGAGTCATCAGTCTAGACAGACATACACTCACATTGTTAGCTCTTAACAGCAAGCTTTCAGTGGGCAACTCTCAGTAACACAGCACACTCCAGGCAAACACCCATGCACCCCTAAGCTATGTTGCTTACTGTGTCTAGTTAGAGCAGTTAAAGGACAACTCTAGATTGCAACTGAGTCCATTGCAGCCTTACAGGCTAGCAGTTTAACACTGAATTGCTTCTGCTACTGTGTTTATGGTTCCAAGCTTTCCCCACTACAGTTTTTCACATTCAATGTTAAATGTTTCATTTTAGTAGTACCAAAGGAGCCCACGTTCCTAATCTTGAAACATCATGAAAAGCTACCTATTAATGCAACCTTCCTTTCTTCAAATTACATTACAAGACTAAGCCTAAAAATAGGCTTCACATCACCAAGACTTCAGAAGATGAAACACTTACGCAGCCAGAAGAATTGCCGCTGTTCCTACAAGCTGTAACTTTCCTCTGAGAACAGACATGCAGGAAAGAAACCTGTCCAGGAAGTTCACTGCCAAGTACAAAGTCTCTGTCCGAAGTTTATACTCTTCCCCTACTTCCACCAGCCAGTCTACCAGGATAGCACGCATTCCTGTTGTGATATCTGGCTGCTTCTTCATGTAGTACGGCTTGGGCCTAAATCTTACCTGTTTGGAAAGAGTTGAATAATCAGGATGATCACTCTGAAAAGAACCATGGATGGCTGAGCTGATGAATATTCTTTATACTTACACTCAAAGGAGCAGGGGTTGTCCCACTCTTAATAACTGAAAGTACTAACTACAATTATTGTGCTAGTGGTAATTATTCCCAGCTAGTGACATCTCTAGAAAGTAGTATTTCTACACTGAATAGACAGATTGAAGCTTTGGTGTTAGCAGAACAGTAAAACACTTTCTGGACTATGGACACCCTTTGCCATTGAGAAGGACCAGAAAATGAACCAACCAGATTTTCTCCCTTTGTCCCACCAGGACACTGAACTTCACTGCTCTGACACAAGAAGGTAGGAAAAACTATAATTATTCCCAGCGGGTGACATCTCTAGAAAGCAGTATTTCTACACTGAAGAGACAGATTGAAGCTTCGGTGTTAGCAGGAGAATAGTAAAACACTTTCTGGACTATGGACAGCCTTTGCCATCAATTGAGCCATTCAGAAGGACCTTAAAATGAACCAACCAGATTTTCTCCCTTTATCCCATCAGGACACTGAACTTCACTGCTCTGACACAAGAATATAAGAAAAACTATTGCTATAGCCAGAGTGAGATCACATCAAACTGCTTTAGCATTTTTTCAGCATTCTACTCCCATGGTAGGAAAAACTACTGCTATAACCAGAGAGCTATCACTGAGATCACATCAAACTGCTTTAGCATTTTTTCCAGCATTCTACTCCCATTTGCAAGAATTCTTCATACCAAACAAGTCAAGAGATGTTCCCATCATAGCAATTAACAGGGATGCATTAATCCTGAAAGAATTTATCACTGACTATATGCTGCCTTAAGAAATTACTTTGACAATTTACTTTCTCTTTGTAGTTCAGTGGCAGCCTTGGATCTTTGCAATATTGCATCCTACCACAGATACCTATAAGCTTCTCACAGCAACTTACTTCAGCCTCTCGGAGGTACTGATGAATGTCTTCTGCATACTCTCCCACAGCCAGAGTTACAACATCTTCCATGTGATCCTCTGGCTGGGATTGGAAGGATGTGTCCACTACCATAGGAGAGCCTAACAGGTAATAGGAAGCAGCAAGACATTTGTAAAATTAATCTCTTGACTTTCCCTTGCTAATTTTAGCTCAGAAGTATTGCGCTTCATGTAGACACAATCCAAGTTAGTTTGCAGTGTAATTTATTGTCACATAAGCTACTCACTAGCTTAAAATTCACATGTGGTGCAATTTTAACCACCCTACATGTGGTTGTGCTATGGACACCATCTGAGTAGTAACAGGAGTTACCTGAACTCAGATCCAGAAGCCGGTGAATACTGGATGTCATTGCACTGGTATCCAGTTCACAGTGGCTTAATTCCAGCTCTTCAGACACTTGGGAGCTATAGTTTTCTTTGTCTTCTGAGTCATCTATGTAAATAGCAAACCCTTGCTTTGATGCAGCACTGATGATGCAGTTGGGCACTTCATCTTTTCTAGATGAAGTGATGGTGTTTTCAAAGCTCGAGAAGCGCTTGATAACAGCAGCACCCTGAAGCAGAGCACACAGTAATGCTATGGGAGGGCAGCTCAGGAGGAAAACAGAGTGTGTCACTTGTTTTCAAAAAGAAAATCACTTTCATTGTGTAACAGACACCAATAACAAAAGTTGATGCGAAAAGCCACCAATCACATTTGATGCCTCTGAAGTTGGTGCCACTTGTTCTGTCTTGCTGTGACAGACTACTCACAGAAAGAATTAAGACTAGTAAAAGTCAGGAAACCAGGAGAGCAGCATCATACTCAGTGCCTCCCACCAAGGAGTATGTGGGTGCTGCTCGTTTCCAGTGGGGCTGGGAAGTGCAGTCTGCTACACATTCAGTTCTGGCAAGGAGCAGCTGCCAAGTACAGCAAGTTAACATAAGTGCTCAAGCACTGCCACAGACTTGGAAAGGACTGCCCTGGCAAGAAGGCACTTCAAACGGAGTTAAAAACTGAAGTTTGAATTTCTGAGCTTAAGCACCGCAACCTTTAGGACTGCGTGTGACCAGGCTACAATCTTTCACACCATCTACCAGTAAGCCACCAGCTGAATTAGAGGCTTTATACAGCCTAAACCAAGAAGAGTCTGTGTACCCATACCAGCTGCTATTTTAGGTCAGAATAGTAACGTTATCCCTGCCCCACCAGCAGACTCCAGGAGGGTTCAAGGGACAGAAAAGCAGAAAAACGACACGTCATTAACTTGAACTTCTTGAAGGCTCTGGCACCCTGGAGAGAGCACGGCTAACCACACACCAATGAGACCTTTGGGTCAGCGGACAGCCCTTCCTTAAACCACCCCTAGAGCAGTATCCCTTCCTTCCAGGATGAATTATTTGCGCAGAGTACTTCCACGGGGCAACACCCGCAGGTCAGGACTGTGCGGTTACTAGCAGGGTTTCTCGGGAAACTCACGCTTAAGAACTGGAGCCCGAGTCACCTCCTCACCCCGCCACGCCAGGTCTTTGCCGGCAGCCTCGAGGCGGGTGCGTGCCCCGCTCATGCCGGCGGCTGCCAGCCCAGGGCCGCGGAGCCCAGCCGGGCTCTGCGGGCAGGGGGGCGGCAGTGCTGCGGGCAGCGGGGCTCACCTGGCCGCCGGGCCGCTGCTGCTGCTGCTGCTGCCCGTTCTCCGTCAGCACCCCCAGCACGGCCCGGCCGCCGCTGCTGCGGAGGGCGGCGGGGCAGGACTCCCGCCGCCCCGCACGGCTCTTCTCTCCGGTGCGATGCATCGCCCCGACGTCGGTACCTTTCGGAGGAGCGAAAAAACCCACAGAAATAAAACGAAATCGTGGTGGGGGAAAGAACACTAAAAAATCCTCCGAACGACCACAAATGCGCCCCTGGCAACCCCTTGCTCCCGCCCGCCCCGCAGGATGACGGGGGGCCCACCGCGCTGCCCGGCTCCGCTCGCCACCAGCCCACGGGAGGGCTCGGCCGCGCTGCGCCGCCCAGGCCGCCCGCCGGCCCTGCGTGGGC